TTTTCTTTTTTTCAACCCTCTAAAAAGAAGAAAGTAAACATTTCGCCTTTTTTTTTTTTTCCATATTGAAAAAGTTTACGTTTGATGACAATATTCAACGATATTATTTTTCTCAACTTTTGATTTTTTCTTATAAAAAGGAAAATGGAGGAGGAAGTGGAGGAGGAGTAGGAGGCGGACAATTTTAAATTTTAGACAATCGTACAAAAACAACAACAACAACTTCCGGTTTTGCATAATGTAATTGTGTGTATATAATTTAACAAGATTTCTTTTTATTTTTCAAATGTAAAAACAAAAAGAAAATTTCACGCGTGTTTGTTTTGGAAGGGGAGAGAGGGTGGGGGAAGGGAAGGGGTCGTTCACCCTAAATTTTTTTCTTTTTTAATTTGGTGACCCCGAGTACTCTAAAGAGAGAGAGACAGAGAGAGATTTTTACAACACAACCGGTTAAGTTCAAGGGCATACATAATAAACTCACTACGTACGTGTATGTATCATTTTAAATCAAAATACATTAAAATTAATTGACGTCCCACGCGTTTTTTTTTTTTTCAATACGAAACGATAATAATAATAATAATAATAGTAATAATAATGATAATGATAATAACGAAAACGTTTTTTTTTCTACGTAAAAAGTTAATCGATCGATGCCGCGTGTATGCGATTGAAGGAAAAATCGAAATTAATTTTTTTTAAGTTTAATAATTTGAATAAAAGGAGCCCCCCAAAAAATCCGACAAACAAACTCTCTTAACAATTAGATACGAATTAAAAATGAATGAGGAGCAGCCCCTCCTAAGAAACAAAAAAAAAAAAAATTTAGTTTAGTTTCCCTTCTCCTGTCTCCTCCTCCTCCTCCTGTGGTTTCATTCAATAGATATTTTTAACAAAAAAAAAGTTCTCGTGTCTGTTCTTTTCTTTCTTTTTACGTTGTTTGTTCGTTTGTTTGTTTGTTTCGTACGGAGCATTAACATTGAATAAGTTAACGTAATAATAATAATAATAATAATAATACTTATCTACTTACATAACTTTTACGAATAAATTAAAAAACCCTATTTATAAATTTTATTTCATTATTAAACAAATAACAATTTTTTTTTGTTTTACGACGTTGTTTTGTTTGTTTGTTTGTTTGTTTGTTATTGTCAGAATGAAAAAAAATATATTTATTATTAATGTATGAATTATTTTGATAAAATGTTTGTTAGTAAAAAAATAAATAAAAAAAAAAAGAAAAAATGACCTGTTTACGATTTTTTAGACATTAACTAATATGACCCTATAGAGACGTTTTTAATACGAGGTTAAAGGTCAAAATGACTCTTTATTAAACTTTTTATAATTGTGTTTAAAAAAAAAAACTTACCCTGCATGGCCGAAGCCCAGCACAGCCAAAAAAGTACCCATTTGGGGGTTCTAAACCTTTGAAGGAAATCCGGTCGAAAAAAACACCAACCGCATTTATCATTTTCATTATTATCTTCCGGTATTTTAAGTTTTTGACTTGTCGGTACTTCCGGTCGTCGTTCACCATCGTCTTGATTAACATCAAATTCATTTTGTGATAATTGTAATCTATCTTCGGTATTATTAACAGGCGATCTTCTCAAGTCGATGGTATCCATTTTTTCTTCGTCGTAGGGCCTAAATACTTTCTAAAAAAAACAAAACAAATTCGTTCAAATATTATTATTATTATTTATTAAATAAACTTTTTTTTTTTTTTGAAAAGAAAACAAAGGAAACAAAACCTATTCATGTCCCGGAAATAATTTTGACTGTAAATGACACTTGTTAACGAAGACATAAAATTATATATAAAAAAAGGTAACGAACGAACTTATGACCCGTTAAGGGCAACCCTTCAAAAGCTACTGAGTGGCACACACGATGCCGTCAGCCGCCAACGCACAACCCGTTACGATCCCTTTCCCCTCTTCCTCAATCATCCTTGAATCCGCACCTTTTCCTCCCGATTTTAACTTAATTTTCATTTATTTTATTAAAAAAAAAAATTTCTTTTTCCTCTTTTTTAAAACATTTTCTTCTTTCTCTCTCTCTCTCTTTTATTATTACATTACCCCCCCCCTCTCTCTCTCTCTCTAATTAAAAAAAAAAAAAAAATTCAATTTTTGAAATCAACCGGAATAAAAATTGTAACCTTACATATATATATATATTTATATAATTTTTTTTTTTTCTGATTCGTCTTAAGAAAAGAAAGAAAATCATCATAATTATTATCATTATTATTATTATCATTTTAATATTGAATTATTTTTC